TCCTGCTGACAAATGTGCTTCTTACATAACTTCGTGGATTCAGGCTGGCATGGAATCTTTTATTCCCTCTCGACGATTCCAGGTTAAGCCTCACTCTTCTCCTTGGTTTTCCTCACATTGCGCTGCAGCAATTTCTAATCGAAACCGTTACTTGCATATCTATCAGCAAAACAATTCTCCAGAAAACAGACATCTGTTCACTATCGCCAGAAACCATTGTAAAAAGGTTTTGTCTGACGCCAAAACTCGCTATTCCCAGGTCATTAAATCTCGTATCTCATCACAAAAATTAGGCTCTCGAGACTTCTGGAGAATTTTTAACAGTATCAATAATAAGGGCAAATCTGTTATTCCTTCTCTCTTGTATGGTTCAGACTTTGTCACCTCACCTAAAGACAAAGCTGAATTGTTTGCTAAGAACTTTTCATCAATATCATCTCTTGATTCCACTAGTTGCGTTTTACCTGACATAGCCGTCAAACAGGTTGATCCCTTGCTTGACATTCGCATCACTTCAGCTTCTGTATCTAAAGTAATTTCCTGCTTAGACTCTTCAACAGCTTGTGGTCCTGACAACATTCCTGTTGTAGTTTTGCAGAGGTGTTCTCCGGAGCTTTCATCCATACTTTCTAAACTATTTAACAAGTGCTTATCAGAGTCTTGTTTTCCATCATGCTGGAAAGCAGCATCTGTTATCCCTATTTTCAAAAATTCCGGAGAGCGATCTGATTCATCTAACTACCGTCCCATTAGTCTTCTTCCTGTCATAAGCAAGGTTTTTGAATCTTTAATTAACAAACACTTAATCTCTCATCTTGAATCAAATAACTTACTTTCTGACCATCAATATGGATTTCGGTCTTCTCGTTCTACAGCTGATGTGCTAACAGTAATAACCGATAGGTTTTACCGTGCATTAGATAGAGGTGGAGAGGTTAAGGCTATCGCACTTGACATTTCTAAAGCTTTTGATAAAGTTTGGCATGCTGGTCTTCTCCATAAGCTTTCTTCTTATGGTGTAGCTGGTAACGTCTTTAAGATTATTGAGTCCTTTCTTTCCAATCGTAGTATAAAAGTTGTCCTCGATGGACAACACTCTTCTTCACATCCTGTAACTTCAGGGGTTCCTCAAGGTTCAATCCTTGGCCCTATACTCTTTTTAATTTACATTAACGATCTTCCAGATATTCTCACATCTAAGGTGGCATTATTCGCTGACGACACTACCATTTACTCTTGTCATGATAAGAAGCCTACACTCTCTGATTGCTTGGAGGGGGTATCTGAGCTTGAAAAGGATCTCACTTCTGCTACAGCATGGGGCTCACAGTGGCTGGTGAACTTTAATTCAGATAAAACTCAATTTTATTCGGCCAATCGTTATCGTAATAATTTAGATCTTCCTATATTTATGAATGGTAATGTACTAGATGAGTCATCTACCATTCATCTTCTAGGATTAACTCTTACTTCTGATCTTTCTTTTAAACCGTATATCAAATCCATTGCAAAATTAGCATCTGCTAAGGTTGCATCTCTTTATCGAGCTCGACACTTTCTTACTTCAGATTCTATTCTCTATCTCTATAAATCTCAAATCCGTCCCTGTATGGAATACTGTTGCCACATCTGGGGCGGATCTTCCAATTATGCTCTTTCTCTTTTAGACAAGGTGCAAAAACGAATTGTAAACATAGTTGGACCTGCTCTGGCAGCCAATCTCCAACCTTTGTCACATCGTCGTAATGTTGCTTCTCTTTTTCTTTTCTACAAATACTATAATGGGCACTGCTCTAAAGAGCTAGCGTCCCTTGTGCCATCTACTAAAATTCATTCTCGTGTTACTCGCCATTCAATTAAGTCTCATCCTTTTTCTGTGACTGTTCCTAAGTGCTTCAAAAACTCTTATTCTTCTAGTTTTTTTCCTCGAACATCAGTTCTTTGGAATTCGCTTCCTTCATCTTGCTTTCCTGATTCATATAATTTGCAATTTTTTAAGTCATCAGTCAATCGTTATCTTGCTCTACAGATTTAGTCTTTTCTCTTTCAGTAACTTCCAACTTTTATAGTGGTTGCTTGCAGCCTTGTTGGAAGTGAAGATGTTAAAAAAAAAAAAAAAAAAAAAAAAAAATATAGATTATGGTAAACACTTGAAATCCGCTACCTTGATTATGAGGATGAGATGTAAATTTTTTAATATATAAGTAGTAGTGTTAATGTTTTTGTTGCACTGATTTTATTAGTTAAATTTATTGTTTTTTTTCTTATTTTACTGTAAGGAGCTTAGGTGTAAATTTAAATCACCTTAAGTTTAGAATTGTAGTGTAGCACATTGAGGAGAATAAAAAAAAGATAATTACTTAAAAATTGTTTCTTTTAAGGAGTTATTATAAGTTTAAAGGGGGGTAACTTTTTTATTTTTAGAGGGTAAATAGGGTATACAAAAATGAGTTTTTTAATACTTCTGATAAACTTTAAACATTTTTTATACAAAAAAAATTATTTAAGCAGCATTTACTATTTAAGCATCTACAATTATATGAAATAAAATTGGGAGACGTTTAACCTGTTGGTCTTAATGTTATGCAGTGATCTATATAATTTTAATAATATATTATTTAATCAATAACTGCTCTTGTTTAATCTACATTATTATCACTTTAACTCTCTTAATAAATAATTTTGTTACCTAAAAAATTGTGATAAAGTCATTTTTTGAGGCTCTTTTCTTTTGTTGACAACTTTTCATTATAAAGTTTTTTTTATTTAGAATGGTTTTTCATAAAACAAACATGGAAGGATTAGTATACAGGTGAGATTTAATTATTTAAAATTTTGTTTAAGTGAAGAAATTGATGACATAATAAGCCCTTATTGTGACATAATCCTTATTGTGATTTTATTAAACTGTCATTTAAAAGAGCAAAAAGCAAAAGAGCGATAGCAGTCACTTTATTATTAATAGTTTATTAGTTGATAGCAGCCATTTTATTAGCAGTTAATAGTAGGTCAATGTAAATAAAAATTTTATAAGTTCAACCTTAAGATTGAGCTACTGTATTGAGCTAGCAAAACTTTGATAATAATAAACAACTTAATAAAATCTATAAACTTATTTTTAGATTGCTGTATAAAAACTATTTTACATTGTACTCTCTCGTAATATATTTAAGTGTTGTATTGATTTTAATCTGTTCACTTCCAAATCTCTGTTTACTCAAATTGCTCTGTTTACAATTAAAAAAGCAATTAAAAAATAGCTCATAAACAAACTCAAAAACAGATCAATTTAAAGAAATGCCTATCTACTATTCATACAAGTTATATTAAAAGGTAAATTTTTAAATTAATTTGTTATAATTTAATTCAAATTACTAATATTGTCAACTTGATTATTCTATTGCTTATTCAATTAATTATTTTTATTCAATTAACTATTGTTTATTCAATTAACTAATTTTAATTGAATTATATGATGAAATAACTCAATGAAATATTTTTGTTGTCCTTTAAAATTTAGCAATAAAAATTAACAAAAATAAAACTTCTTGACTCTGACCCAATTTGTTGTTTGCAGATAAAAAGGTTCATTTTAAAGTTAATTTAAGAAAATATTTTAAATAAATTATTTTTGACTATGAATTACATTAGATGTCACATTTAAACTATTGGTTTCTAATATTATTGACTTAACAATTGAAAGGGTCATTTTAGAGACACTATAAGTCAATTTTGGAAAATAATGATGGATCACAGGGAATATGTTACATGAGGCTAGATACGTGTTATATACATGTCAGACCTTTCCGTCAACACTTTAAAGGCGTGGGCTGAAGAGTCTGACTAATGTAATTTCTAAAAATGATTTATGATGTTTTTAAAACTAAACAATAAATTATTGAGTTGTCAAGCTTCTTGCATATGTGAAATCATCACCATTATCATAGATAATAATTTTGGAACAAACCCACCAGCCTAACTAAAGGTATCTCTGAAATAGTTAGATTTTTGTCTTATTCTTGCTATCCTAAGCTCTTGCTTTCATTCCAGCTTTCCAACACTGAAATGATGGTAAAAAATCTTTTTTTGTCTCTGCAATTAATCATAAATGTCTTTGTTAAATAATTCCATGAATAAACTAACACTGAACACTTTAAAGAGATCTTCCTAAACAAAATAACAAGAAAAGTAAAAAAAATTCTAAACCTTGATGCACACCAATTTTGTTCTTATAACTAACTGATTGCTGTTGTTACATTTTCATGCATAGTAATGGTAGCTGTTATCATTCTTCAACCAATAAATACCTCACAACCCACAACAATTTTTTTTTAATATACTGTGAAAAATTTTTAAAGAAAAAAAATACTACTCTTTTTTAAACTAGTCCAAGAATAAATATTGTTGGATAATAAATATTATAAAAATGTAAATCTATTGTTTTTTAATTGATGGAAATTCTTTTATGTAGCAAGTCACATGTTACTTTTATGTTGTCAAATATGAACTAAACAAAAAAGATCTTTTTTTGAAAATTCTGAGATATCAGATGAATATTTAGGCAATTAACTTTAATTTGCTTCTTAAAAGCAAGTTTCTTGGGTATCATCAGAGATGTTAGATAATTACTTAATTATTCAACTAGAATTCAAAAAAAGTTTTCAACAAGCAATGACAGAATTCATGTTAAAAGATTTATTGCTTCCAAATTATAACTTATAAAGGTAGGTAATATTTAGGTAAATTTTATTAGTTAATAAATTTTTAATAGGTAAATTTTATTAGTTAATAAATTTGGAAAGTTCTTCAATAGTACTGTTTTTTTTAAACTGGATTTTGTCTATTCTTTTGGTTTTAACTGCTTAATGTAATAATTAAAAATTAAATATATTTTTTTAAAAGGTAAAGTTTTTTCATATATAATTATGTAATAGTTATGTATACCTTGAATATACATTATATATAATTTACTTGAAAATTGTATAACTAAATGTATTTTTTTTAGGGGGAAACTAAAACAAAACTTTAAAAAATTTGTTTAGCATTAGCTAATAATAAAAGTATTAAGTAAAATGGGTCGTACTCAAAAAAATAAAAAAAAGAAGGCTGAGAAGAGAAAGTACAGCATGTCAACTAATCCAAGGAGGCTTATGTTTCTCCTAAAGTACACAATCAATGAGCTTCCAATAAGCCCATTGGCAACCATCAGAAATATTCTGAGATCCAGTTTCTAAAATCTCCCAGGTAGAACAAATAATTATTTTTTATATATAAATATACTATAAAACATTGATAAAAATTAAAAATGTTTTATGCAATACATATTTAATCTAATATCTCCACCCCTAACTGTTTAAAATAAGACACAATAAGCCCAAAATTAATGTAAGATCAAAAAAACCATTATGGTAAATACTTGTCTATTTTTAATTAAGATCAATAAGATTTCAGTTTACAAAGTTAATAGTGGCCTGGTCTCAGAAGCACGGAACCTTAAATCTGATCTGTTTAGATCAGATCCCTGTTTTTATGCTTCTGAGGTCAGGCAATTATTAACTAAGATGTGTTGCCCCCGCTGTAAATTATGCTTGGAAGAAAGCAGGGTTTCAAGATTTTATTATCAGTGGATATAGTGTCAGAGATAAAATACTGAAATCCATATTAAGTGGATAAATCTGCAGCATCTCAAATCATTGAATTGGAACTCTAGCGATGGCAACTTCTCTAAGATACAGAATAAGTTTTTAGAGGAGAGCAATTTTTTAAAGACTCTTTGATATTTCATTGGCAATTCTGAGAATGCCAAAAAAGAGGATGTTAAGTTCTATCTAGATCAAAAAAAGAGCAAAACATGTAAATTACAGAAGAACTGGATGAAGTATTACAAAATTCAGTTAAAAATTAAAATATTTGGCTCAAGAGGATGGAGGAAGCAAGAGGTAAAAGTAGTATCACTATTCATGTAGTAAAATTCTATAAACTTCTTTTTATTCATCTAGAGTTGTTTCTGAACTGGAACTTAGTTTAGATTCTTCAGATAATGAAAACTTACCTATTAGATTTTACTAAATAATCTACTAAATCTAAGATAATGATAAGTATAAGTGATGAAGATCTGGTAGACTGTACTGCTGCAGTTTCTGCCTGATACTGAGTAGGTATAAGTCCACAAACTTCATTAGTAGTTGTTATTTGCAATAAAACTGGTGTAAATCTAGAAGATATTAATCTATCAAAAAGTACAGTCCATAGAAAAAGAGTCAAAAAGATTGAGACATTAATAGATGATCTCAGGCAAGTAATTATAGCTACTCTAATTGGAAAAAAGCTACGTGTTGATTTTGATGGAAAAAGGATAAAACAGATTGAAGAAGATCTAATAATAACTGTTTCTGTAAAAAGAATAGCATTTAGTGTTATATCCTGATATGGATAACATAGATGACATTCTGCTATGTGCTGTTCAGACACCAAGTTCTAAAGGTAGTGACCAGGCTGAAGCAAATTCAATCTGCTAGAATATAAGGGCATCGTAGATCAAATATTTACTGTTAACTGTGACACTACTGCATTGTTGTTATCCTTAGCTCCATTTTTAATATTCCACTTATATGGTTTCACTGTAGAAGACATGCTAGAAATACACATCTCACACTTTATGGAGGCTTTGACTAAAAAGAAGACAAAGGACCCAAGGAAAGGGCTGTATGTCAAACTCCAGAAAAATTGGTGTTTTTTCAAAAAAGAGGTTGACAAGATGATAGATCTAGTTAGGTGTGATTAGAGTCAGCTTCAGGCTGAGTCATCCCTTTATGAAATTGCTAAGAAAGCTCTGGAAAAAAAAGGCCCTTGCCTCAAAAACTTTTGTGAGAAGTGATTACAGGGAACTATACGAGCTTTTTGTTTTCTATTTGGGAGAAGTAGTGCCTTGACTGTATTTTTATTAACCTAGAGCCTGCCATGAAGCTAGGTACAGTATATTAAAGAAAAAATTATAATAAATAAAAAAATATAATAAACAAATATTAATGGTAACAAAATCTTACTAATTAGGTTTATGGCTGATGCCTTATACATTCTTACCCTGAGAATAACCGATAAGATCACCATGATTATGAGCAAAGTGGAAAAAAAGATAAAGCAGCAGCCTTTTTCACATCATTTTCATCACATCGTCTGGTATGCACCTTGGTTTCTAAAGTCTTTGGTCCTAATATCACTCTAATGATCTTGCCGCTTTTAAGAATGCTTTTTGCATCAAAGAAAAATATCCTAATCTTGGTTCAGCATTGGTTGCTAGTATGCAAAGACAACTCGTACTTGACTGAACAGTTGGTGTTGCTATCTCTGACTGATGAGCAGGAAGCAGGAAGTGAAAAGAGATTTTGGATAGATTAGTTCAGTATGATGTTCCTGACAAGGAACATCATACTGAACTAAGAGATTCAACTTCAAGAATAGAAAACCTGAGCTACCAATCATATTGGAGTCCACTGTGATTTGGAAACTTTGGTCCAGAAATTTGGCTTATGTTAAAAATTGCAGAAGCCCCTGATGGTGAAGTACAGTTGTGGAGGATGGAAAAGCTCTAAGTTCATTAGATTTATTCAAAAAATTTGTTTAAAATTTGACTTGCGTCAAAGATTGTGCAAAAAAATATATATATCTTATTCAGGACTTTTTAGGTGGATATAAATCTGACAATATGCAACAAAGTTTAATACTGGTGGCCAGGGACAATAAAAGAAGTTTAAAAAAAATTTTCAAGTTAAAGTTTATATTTCTATTAGTAATAATAATTTTGCGCGCGCGTGTGAGTAAGTGTGTGTCACGGTGTGTTTATGTGTGTCTGAGCGTGTGTGTATGTGTGTGTGTATTGCATATTAATAAAATTAATAATTTATATTAATATAAAAATACATTCACACATTTTTATATACCTTATATTATTCAACTTTTATACTGAATTATTATTTTTTTTTAATAGTACTTAAATTTATTTTAATAGTACTATTAAAAGTATTATTAGTAATTAAGTTCTTACTAAAAAATTTATCAGTTTAATAAAAAGTTAAAAAAAAAAATTGCCTATCCTGATTTTAATTGCTAGATTTTTATTAGAGAAATTTTGTTTTTCAGAATTTTAATGTTTGATTTTTTGATTTGTTAGGATGGTAACAAATGGCAAGCCGCGGCTTATGTCTAAGAATTGTAAGTGGAGTTCTCAAAATGCAGGTCGAGCGCTGTTGAAGTTTAAGATGAAAAAAAGTAGAGTTTACCTCATACTAAAGATTTAGCATGACATAAAAATATGTTGTTGTGGTGTGCCGGTTGCGTATAAAGTTTTACAATTTGGATATCACTGTCGAACACAATTTAAAAAGCGGATTATTCATAAACTTTAAATTCAATAAATTATCAAAATTTTTATCACTATTGTTTATGTATCGGGTTTTTGTTTGAATAAATTTAATAACTTAAAAATAATTTTACCTTTTTTTTTTAAGTTATTAAGGTGCTCTAAGAACTTCACGGTTTTATCACAGAGCACCGCAGAATAGTACTTTAACCAGGGTCTTCACCTTCAAAACCGATGTTGTTTATCTGGTCAGAGCCAGAATTGAAACTCATGCTTCAGATACTTTTATTTTTTATTTAACTTTTAAAAGTAACCGTAGTCTTATAGATTCCTATAAAAATTTGGAATAAAATAAAAAAACAGGTTTGACAACTATTGAATTAAAAAACATTAGTTAAATTTTTTTTGTTTCAGGTTTCTCTAGGACATTTTGACTGAGCATTAATATAAAGTGGTGATCAGAGTAGTTTTTAATAATTCCATTTATTAAAATAATACAGAAATATTTTTTCCTAATGTCATCATACATATTATACAATTTTTTGTAAACAGAAAACTGTTAAGTAACTTTAAAATTGAAATTTACATTTTTTTACCTGACTTAAACCCTTTTTGGGAATCGATTAGAAACTTTTATTGTTCAATTAATTCCATAAAACCTATTAAGTAAGGTTTTTTTTTATTTTTACAATAGTCAAACAATCAATGCATTTGTTAATAAATATCAGAAATACATATTTTCTGACTTTTTTCTTATAAAAATGAACATCAAATTACTAAAATTTAGCAAAGTTCATCATTAGTCGAGCCTATTCTAAACTATAAGAAGTTTTTTTACTCTTGTATAATATGTCGTAAGATGAAATATTTTATTGGTGTTTTTATTGTTTTTACAAAACAAAGATATTTTAAATATTTCAAAAGTTGCAAATGTTTTAGTAACACCCCTCAAGTCAATATTTTCACAAAATAACAAGAAGCCGTAATGCTCGGTTTGAAACAGCCTTTGCTTTTTTGTTTTTAAATACATCTGTTTAATTATAAAAGTGCTCCTAGAAGCTTTGCTTATCACAGAGTGCCGTCCCACCTTCCTTACCTTTGTTACTTATAGATATTTTAATGAGAGTATACTCATAAGAACAAGCCTACCGCATTTGATGAGTTTATTCAAAAAAAAGTTTAAGAAGTGAAGTATCACGGAGGAATAAAAACTGTTCTTAGCCAATAAGCTCCTGTTTTTTACTACTTAAATCTTTTGAAAATTGAACGTATAAAAACAGTAATATACTATTTTTATTAGTCTAGGTGATCAATATTGTAGCAAAATAAAAAATACCAAAAAAAAAATTGGTATTTTTTTTTTGGTATAAAAGTGCGCATAAAAGTTATTGATGCAATAACTTTTATGCGCATTCTTGAAATACCTAAAAACTATATTAAATTATAAATTAATTAAGTGACACTTAAGCTAATTAATAATAGTTAAAATGAATAAATGATTTGATTTTAAATAGTTCTAGGTAGGAGACTATAGAGAAGCGCAAAGATTCCATTAAAGTCTGTGCCCAACTAGCCCCAGTATCCTCAATGAAATGTAACTATAAAAATGGCCAGGACAAAATTATTTTATAAATTAATCTAAAATTTTAATAAAAAATATTTTTAGTTACCATTTTATATTTGTGTGGAGATAAAACATCTCATTTCACAAGTTATATGACTAAAGAAATATAAAAAAAAGTTATTGCTCTAATGTTGCAACAAAAAAAACTGTAATTTTAAAATAAACTTTGATTTTTTATGCTCTAATTAAATTTTTTATAATTATTTCTTGCATTTTCATAGAGAGGAACAAGATTACACAAAAATAAACTCTTACTACTAAATATTTTTGAAACTTATAAAATGCATGAAATACAAACAAACCCAGCAAAATTTTCACCTCAGTTTTATTACTCTGCCGTTGAAAAAATTGAAAAAGTAAGTTTAATAGTAGTAACAGGCTATTCTAAGTGAAAAATGAGGGAAAACAAAGGAACTTGAAAATAATAAGAGGGATTTACCATTGAATTTAGCTACAATTATTCCCTTTTTTGTTTCTTTTGATTTTCGAAGGAGAAACGGCAAAAGCCCTAACGTTACAATACAGTACTCACATTGTGCCGTGGTGCTTAAAATTTACCTAAAAAACTTAAACGAAACTGAATTTTATTTATTACATTTAAATATCTTAAATCTGAATAAAAAAATCATTTTTTTCAAAAAAAAATTTTCTAGCCTGACGGTTTTGACCCGAAAAGTTTATGAAACATTAGGGCTATTACGCTGAAGATTTTACGTTTATAGTAGTAGTAGTAGTAGTAGTAGTAGTAGTAGTAGTAGTAGTAGTAGTAGTAGTAGTAGTAGTAGTAGTAGTAGTAGTAGTAGTAGTAGTAGTGGTAGTAGTAGTAGTAGTAGTAGATTGATTATAGATTGCTGGCTGCCACCGCGAATTCCAGATGAGGCCGTACAAAGGCTGTATATAGAATTTTAAGTAGTTGAGGAGTCATATTACTGAAAGTATAATACAACATGCCTAATACACGGTTAGCTTTATTGGTTGCAAATATTGAATTGTTATGGTTTGTTGTAGAGCTCCTACTTTTCATAAAACCATGCTGTTTTTATGAAAGTAAATTATTTTTATTAGGTGTTGCATGATACAATTAGTTTTATCCTTTCCAACACTTTACATCATAGATAATCCTAGTCACATTTTAAAAATTCGGAAAATTGTTTTGATAAAAAATCCGTAAAAAATCCGGAATTTGTTTTCCTTTATTTTTTTTTTAATTTCACTTTTACTTAAGTTGTCTTTTTTTTTATAATTAATTTTTTTTTTTTTTCTTATATTTTTTATAATTTATCTATGAAAGATGAGTGAAAAAGCTTAAAAAAACAAATATATTACAAAAATAAATACCTCAACTTGCATGTATTGAAAATGTTTTGGATATCCAGATAAACTAAAAGTTGAAAAAAATATCTGGAATTCTAGAAATATCTGGAAAAAGATAATGCCTGCTACATGGCATTGACCATTGAAGTTAACAAGACCGGTCTGTAATTTGATGCTTTTGCAACTTTTTAAGCATAAATGCCAAATTAGTATCAGCTGATAGAAGAATAGCATCTCTCTAACATAAAGCCTCTACAGTCAAATTAACTGGTACCAACATAAATACTGTTGATAACATCAACTCAAATTCTGTAAAGTTAATAGCTGAATTCAAGTTAATCAAGGTTTTTTGAATAGAATTTTTTAATTTACAAAAATGCTTAGCGTAAAAAGTAAGTTGTTCCATCTAGCCCTAATATTTAATATTAACGACAGTTCTTTACCATGTTCAATTATTACATAAACTTGACATTTTTTTATTTTTTGTTGATGATCGTCTGAATAGCTTTACAACTTTTGCTTATCAATGGAGTAAAATTATTTCCAAGTTCATTTGAATTTAGTGAGCTCTAAAAAATCCTTAATTTGTCTAAATTGTTATAAAATACATTGTTTTTTTTCTCAACTTGTATCAAAATCAGTAGCTAAAATTAACAACCATCATAAAAAAAAAGAATAAAAAAGTTGTATAGAAATTTCATTAAACTTTTATACAATTCATTTTTAAATATTAAATTTTTCAAGTTTAGTTAATTACAACTTGACATTTTGTTACAAACTTGTTACCTTTTTTAAGTATTGGCTTTTTTCTTCCTTGTAGATAACTTAGGGTTTTTGCTGCGAATTATAAAAACACTTTAAAAGTGAAAAGTTGTGAAATTACTCAAAGTAAGGATAAATAAGACATAGGTCCGAACGTTCCTTCTGGAAAGACTTGTTACAATGAACCTTATGTTCTTATTAAAAGTTTTGCAAAAATATATAAATGTTTTCATATATTTTAAGAAACAGCTCATGTTTTGCAAAAACACTTTAGAACATAGAAATAAAATCAAGCTAAAAATGTTTTTACTGTTTAGTTATTCTTACCTCCAAATTTCCTTTCAATTTCAACTACAATATCGCGGCGGCCCAAATCTTCAAGATTTTTTTTTACATGCTCCCACGAAAGGTGTCCATTTATTTGTTTCCATTTCTTTAAAACATTATCAGCTTTATCATTACATTTTCTATAGTCAGAATCAATGTTATCAAGATCTGAATCACTTAAGCCTAGGTGTCTTCCAAAATGAGACCAATCACTTCCAATTTTATAGCTTATTTCACCACAAAACTTTGAATTCAGTTGATCATAGGTCAGTATATCTCTTGACACTAAAAATAAGAAATCTATTTTTAGGCATAAAAAAAAAAAAAGTTAAAAGAATAAAAAGAAAAAAATTAAGAGTAAATTTATAAAAAATAAAATAAAAATTGCCATCAACTAATGCATCACTCTGCTGAGCAAATTTATAGGTGCAGAGAAATAAGTAGTGATTTGTAATAATTGGTATAATCTATCATAATTACAGTTTCATATACATAGTTATATAAACCTTTCCAAAAAAGGTGTGCCATTTTTTGTCTTATATGTTTATACATGAGTATTTTAGACAACTTTATTTTTTTACATCTTTAAAACTTTAAAAAAAAAAATTTACAAATAATAGCAACGAGTTTCCTCGCTTTCCTTGATAAAAACAGTAAAGCTTAGCTGAAACATTTGAAAAACAAATTTAAAAATTGTCCGGGTTTCTAGTGCAATTTATAAAGTATTACCTTTATATACTGACTGAAAAAAATGTTTTTGTTTGTTAATTTTTGTTTATTTTAGTTATATTTTTCATTTTGTTTATTTTAGTTAAATTTTTAATTTTTCTCTCTTTTTCCTCTACTTGTACCAATTTTGGTAGTGGAAAATAACAAACGCTATAAAATTAAGAAAACAAAAACAGTAAATACTCAGGTATATTATTTTTTTGACAACAATTTCCTTTATTTATTATTAAATTTTTTTCAGCTTATTTTTTTTAGATTTTTTTTTTTGTATATTGTTTGGTTCATTTCTTCGAGTATTGCTGATTTATTTTTTTAGTTTCCCATAGTTTAATTTTGCCGCAAATTCTTAAAATAATTACATAAAAACGAGATCAAGTTGCCAAAAAAAAATTACTTTAGGCCTGGACATATAAGGTGTAAACAAACTAGACAAATAAAAAAAAAACTAGACAAATAAATGTTTCTTGAGCATGCATGAACAAATACAGTAAAAGAATGAGGCTTTGCTGAATGACGAGTCAAACGAGAATGAGTTTTAGTTGATAGAACTAGAGATGATAGCTCCTTTGAGCAGCAACCATGATAGTATTTGTAGAAAAGAGAAAGAGATGCAAGAAATTACAATAATGGGAAAGAGGCTCAATTTTATCAGATAGAGCAGTTCCAAATACATTTACATTGTGGACCTTGCCTAGAAGAGAAAGAGCATCATTAGAAGAACCAGATAAAATATGACAACAGTATTCCATAACGAATAAAATATTTGAAGAGGTAGAGAGTCGAATTAGGAAAGAGAAAATATAGATAAAGAAGTAACCTTAGCAAATACTAATTTAGCATTCAACTGTATATATGGTTTCCGTGAAAGGTCAGTTGTAAATGATAATCCAAGAAGACAAAAAAATGGACTCAGTGAGAGGGTTGCCATTCATTAATATAGGAATGTCAATTAAAATTATTTATAATATTATCATTATTAATGTTATACAAATATAATTTACAAACAGATAGCAATTTGTATTTTTACTTTCCTCTAAAAAAACAAATGAAATATAGGAAGATCATTATTTTTAATGTCAACGTGAAACATAACATTTGGTTTTTTCTTTGCTTATACAATTTTGTTGCTGAAAGTAACAACTACTCTAAAGTAACAAAAATAAAAAAGGAACCAAATTATTCAAATTATTAATTTTTTTTTTCTATTTTAATCTATTCTAATTTCCTATTTTGTTATGTTTTTCCGCAACATTTAATATAAAAAAACTTGCTAACGGCAATGAATAAGTTGTCTAAATAAATTACTCATGCGTGACATACAAGACAAAAAAACTGCACGTATTTCCTGAGAACGTTTAATTATAGTAAAGTAGGTTTATAATTACGTAATTAAATATATTTGGGTATTACACAAAGATTTGAGTTTTTATTTATTTAAAATGCATATCAAGTAATGCCTAAGAATTTTTTTTAGCAACTGAAACTTGTTATGATTTCAAAAAAATGAAGCAATTTTTTTTACGTTTGTTTTCATTTTTGCTTTTTGTTTTGTTTCCATTTTGATTTTAATTTGTTTTTATTTTTGATTGTTTAAAATAAAATACACTTAAAAATGAAGTCGGTATTTTTGTTTTTACTGACTTTTGTTTTTACTGACCTTTTCTGAATTTTTTTATCTAGAAAATTGCTTTTATTATTCAAACCTTATTATTATTTATATTTCTCTATGTATTATGTTGACAGTTTTATTTGTTTAGTGTAAATTAAAAAAAGTATAGTGCTTATCACAAATAACATTTTTTTAAACTTTACTTTATAGCTCTAGTTTAGTTAAATCTTTTTTATATACAATTAAGATTAAGTACTCTTGAGTCCCTAATACAAGGATGGGGGCTGTTTATTAATTCTGGACTAAAATTCCCACCCCCTTCAATTTATTCCCAACAACCCCCTTCCCCTTTTATTAAGGACTCGAGAGTACAAAATTTATTAAATGACAACACTCTTTTTTGACAAAGCATATCTTTAACAACAAAATGTTTTGTTTGGATAAGATTTTATTTCTAATTCAGTGTTGTCAATATAAACAAATCAAAATTTATCTTTTTTTTGGTTGGTCCCAACTAATCAACAAAAAAAAGGTAATTATTTAAAACAATAATTCCAGTGCGGTGCGCAACTAACATCATGATTTGTTTGATGAACAACATTTACAGTGTGATTTTATATAACATTGACAACACATCTTCATTGCCGATAATCAAAATCTTTAAAATAAAAAAAAAAAAAATTAAACAAAATTTGCTTGATTAAGATCTATAAATAATATAAACATACAAACACACAAACACAGTAAAACATTACATATAAAAAACATTAAATATAAAAAAAAAAGAAGAAAAAAAACAATTTTTTTAACTATTTAATTTTTTTTTAATTTTTATTTTTAGTTTAATGTTGGTTGTACAGTTTTAACCATTATTATTTTAATCATTGTCATTATGTACAAATGGGGAACAAAAATTTTAGATTTGAACTCCATTAAATTAAAACACATTAATTAAAAAGTGTTTAAATTTATCAAAGTTTTGTTGTTGTTGTTCTAAAATCCATTATTAGAGTTGAAAGTTACTGGAAACGAAAATATAAAGTTTATTAAGTTAAAAGATAATGATTAAAAGACAACTTAAAAGATGCAAATTATGTGAATCAGGAAAGCAAGATAAAGAAAAAAAACTAGATAAAAAAAATTGGAGCACTTAAAAAAATTGAATAGCAAGAGAAATGTGAATGAATTTTACTAGATGGCACAAGACCAAATAATTAGCTTAAAGTTGAAAAGTTTGTTAACTTTGTTTTAAAATAATATCTTCCATATGAATTCAAGCTTTAAACTAAAGTGTTGTTTCCATAACTTTTTTTTTAGTTCTTAGATGGTTCTTGGCATATTGCCAAACAAAAAAGAGAGTCATTAAATTTGGAAAATAAAGCGACAATTTAAAATCAGAAAAACTCAATATTATTTAATCTCCAAAAACAAAATTTGTACTTTTACATCAATTGTTTTCAACTAAGAAATCAATCAAATTTATATTGGAAAAGTTAAGGGTATGTAAAACTCATTGCACTAAGATTTAACCAAGAGCTAATATTGTTACCTGGTGGAACATTATTGAGTTTTCTGTATACTTTTTTGCACTCAAATAATGTTCAAATCATTTCAAACTGCATCAGGTTTTCCAGCACCTGGAACGTCACAGACAGCCTCTTGTTGCTAAAAATTCTGAACCAACTAATTAAAAATGGTGAAATTCAAGTGGATATTTTTACAAGATAGACATGTTGATAAAATAAAATGGGTCAAATAGAAATAAAAAGAAAATAGAATAGTGAGTTTTAAAAAAAAGTGAAAAAAACAACTTATAAAACAACTTATGTGATAACAAAATAAGTGGTACCAAAAACTTGACAAAAAAATATTGTTTAGAGTAATCTAGGTCATAATTTTTTGTGATAAAAAATTGTTAATTTATAAAGATAGTTGATACAATATCATCAACCTATTCGATTTGAAATATATATATGAAATAATATAAATAATTAACATTATTTATATTATTTCATAATATTTAATATGTTAATTAATAAAAATATATATTATCTACAAATGTATAAAAAAGGCACAACAAGCGATGTGAATAGCAAAAGGGTACAAAGTTATTTCAGATTAGCCTGCACATGTCAACCCTTTTGATTTTGGTAGTTTTCACATGTGAAACATTGAAACTGTGTAAGTAAAAATTTAATGAATAAATACTTTTTGGATTTTTTAATATAGGATCGAAAAAGAAGTGTACAGTCTTATGCGCATGAAAAAATGTTGTAGTCTAAATTTAAAGTGACGTGTGATGCCTAATTAGTATGAAATGACCAATAACACTTTTAATTAGTTTCATAACTTTAAATATTTATAATGCTTATTAAAAACAAACAATTATAATTCAAACTTTTAATATTAAAAAAACATACTTACTAGTTCAATTCAACTTTTATAAGATGAAATCTAAAAGAAGAATGAAAGTTAGCAATACTTTTAATCATAATAGTTAGTTGAGTTCAACAACTCATTAACATACAGAGCCCTATTTAGCGGTCAGACCTGTAATAGAATATCGACGCACCTTAAAGGTGTGTTTCCATTCATCCGTTTTTTTACGGGAACGGGATAGAAACGAGATAAATAATCACGTGAGCATGCGTAGTTTTTCTTCAGACATATTAAAAGTTTTTCTACGCATGCCCACGTGATTATTTTTCCCGTCCCTTTCTCGTTCCCGTGAAAAAACGGATGAGTGGAAACTCACCTTTAGAATATCACCGCACCAGTAGAAATAATGAAAACGAGGAGGCGTTTTGAAGTAATAGAACTTAGTAGAGTGCCGAGAACGTCAGAATATGTCCGAGTATGTACGAATAATACAAGAACATTAAAAAAATGTTGTTTTTTAACAAACAATATCTAGTATGTTGTTTTTTTAACAAAATACATGGGTGATGTGGTATTCTAAACATAAAATAGTGTATTTCTAAGTTTTTTGAAGGTGATGTGATATTCTAAAATTCTAAGCACTATCTACGATATTGTTTTTTAACAAAGTATATGGGTGATATGATAATCTAAACATATATTATATATGTTTAGAATATCATATCACCCATATACATGTAATTTGTTAAAAAAAAACATACTAGATAGTGCTTAAAATGTTAGATTATCACATCACCTTTATAAAATTTAGAAATACACTTATATATGTTTAGAATATCATATCACCCATGTACTTTGTTAAAAAACAATATCGTAGATAGTGCTTAGAATTTTAGAATATCACATCACCTTCAAAAAACTTAGAAATACACTATTTTATGTTTAGAATACCACATCACTCATATATTTTGTTAAAAAAACCAACATACTAGATATTAATTGTTAAAAAACAACATTTTTTCAACGTTCTTGTAATATTCGGACGTACTCGGCACTCTACAAAGTTTTATTACTTCAAAACGCATCCTCATTTTTATTATTTCTACTGGTGCGGTGATATTCTAAGGTGCGGTGATATTCTATTACAGACCACCCTTGGACTTTGACAGGTCGGGGCGCCCCTCAGTGTGGGCAATATTTTTACCAGCCGCTTGCGGTCAAAATTAATAAAATTAAAAAGCCGCTGTCAGCGGCTTTCGGTAGGGAATGAGTTAAATTGCTTTTTTTTTTTGCAAGGAAATTTGACAAAAAACGAAATAAAGTTAATAATAACCATTTTAATGTGGCATAACAACTATATAAAAAACGAAAAAAGACAAATAATTCTTTTCCGTCATCGTTTCTGTCCGCCCCCTATCACTGGCCGCCCCATGGTTTCAGCCTCAGTCAGCCCTTTGGTAAACACAGCCCTGCGCACAGGCATCGCCTATAAATTACTAAATTACTAAGTTACGTCTATAAATTACTAAATCAACGCTAAATTTTATTAGTTAATTTTCCTTCGCAGAGTTTTAAAATAGAAATTAAATTATTGCTTTATTTATTAGAAAGTAAAAACGAAGAGCATTCATCTTTCTGTGCATAATATATATATATATATATATATATATATATATATATATATATATATATATATATATATATATATATATATATATATATATATATATATATATATATATATATATATATATATATATATATATATATATATATATATATATAATATATATATACATATATATATATATATATATATATATATATATATATATATATATATATATATATATATATATATATATATATATATATATATATATATATATATATATATATATATATATATATATATATATATATACACAAAATAGAAAATGTATTATCATGGTATAATAATAATAATACAAATACTCTTGTGCGTTTAAGAGTGCTCAATACTATTAAATAATAGAGCAATATTTATTTATATTAAATGAATAAAAACAACTTTCGATGGAACTCTGAGTTTCATGCCTTTCGGCAATCATCAGCCATTGTGTATTTCGTCACTTAAAAACCGTTTTAAAATTACAAATTAAAATTACGGTGAAACGAGTTCTGACGTTACCAAACAAAACAAAACAAAATAAAAAGACGTCAAAGGTTTTAGCCCCCGGTATCAAATAAGGATAATAAATTTTTTTTTAAATGCCGGCATTTTGATATTGTTTCATATCTTTTGTCAATTAAGTTCTCCTTTATATGATAATATGTGAAACTTCTCGCGGAGACAAAGATTACAAACTTTTGATGCTTGATAGTAGGGCTTACATTGTGCTATTATCATCCATGTAATAACAGGATTTATATGTTTCGATTTTAGCTCCCATATTTCTTTGGAAAGTTCAGTGTCATTTTTATATTTGGATGCATTAAAAGATTTGAGATGGTTGGCATATCTTAATTTAAATGTGGTTTCACTTATACCGAAATAAACTTTATCTTTGCATTGAGGATCACCAGAACTTACAGTAGCTTGGTATACGATATTGCTAAAAAAGCATTGGTCATTAAACGAACAAATATTTTTTTCTGTGCAGTTACATTTTTTTGATGTTTTATTTTTATCACTATATAAAATTTAGTTAATATGTGTATTTATTAAAGACTTGACATTAGGTATGCAACTATAGCTAACTTTAATAAAGTTTCGATTAAAAATTTTATGAAGCCTGTGTCCTACTGGAAAGTGTTGGTCAATTGAAGCTAAAAAGCGATTTCCAATTTTAGTTTCAACAATTTTGCTAAACGGGGGCTGTACCATATAATTTTACGTTTGCGATGTTTTTTTTTATTTTTGTTTATTTGCAGTTGGTATGTGAGTTTAGAATTGTATCCTGATTTACGTAAAGCCTCTTCATACGGGAGAATTGAATTATTGAACACAGTTTCATTTTCTGGCATATTCGATAATCTTAACTCAATAGTGCGAGGGATTTCTTTTATTATATTAGATTTTTTTGCATGATATATTGTTTTTTTATCGTCAGTTTTTATAATGTGCCGGCATTTTTTATAATGTGTCGGCATTCAAAAAAATTATTTTTTAATAAAAATTTTTATTTAAAAATAATTTTTTATATGCCGGCAATTTTTATAATGTGCCGGTGTCGCGGTAAATTAGGACTCAGGAAATTATGACTTCAAATATCTTAATTTCCCGGTAAATTAGAACCTTTCCAGTTTAGATTTACCAGGAAATTACGAGTGAAACGGTAAATTAGGACTCCAACAATTTCTTGAAATTGAAAATCATTTCGCTTCAGGGTGAGCTGAAATTACATCGCGCAACGCATAGAAAATAATTATGTTAAAAATGCACAGAAAACTGGTTGTAACTATCACTATGACTCAGTAAAAGATAAGACAAATACTTTTAGAATTTCTAAGAGATCTTAAAAAGCGGCAGAGATGGATTTACGTTTTATCAATAGACAATATACCATATAAACATTACACTGTAGTTTGTGCAAAACATTTTCCATCAAACTACCTAGTTGTCAAAGTAAAAGGAAAAGAAAATCCTCGAGATCCACCTAGTGTATTAGAGTTAATTTAGAGTTTAGTGCCATCTCTTCCACTAGAAAAAGAACAACAACAATAGGTAAAAGCTCTCTTAGATAGCATGTCCACACAATTTTTTTATAATTTAAATATCCATATATTGATGCCATTATATAGAGCTTGGTTTGACTTAAAAAATGAGGGGTCATTCAACAATTGAAGTTTAGCGGATCAAAAGTTATCAAACTTTTTGTAGTCAAAAAACGGGTGATTTTTTGACAAAAGGTATTGGGCTTAAGTATGGGAAATTTGCGGCGAAATGGCACCGAAAATGATAGTATTATTGACATTTGAATAACTTTTGAACTGATTATACATTTGACTTGAAAATTTCCATAGTGACCAATCAACTATAAGGAAGTAAAAATCCAAAAAAAAAAAATTTTAAATACATCGGGATTGACCAGAACCATTTATTTTACAGACCGAGGGTTTTTTACTAATTTACATGTTTTTGGGGTCATACTGACTTTTGATAACTTTTGAGCCAATAATACATTCGACTTGAAATTTTCCATAGTGACCAACCAATTATAAGAAGATAAAATTCCCAAAATTTTTTTTAAATCTGTTAGGATTGACCAGAATCATCTATTTTACAGACCAAGGATTTTTACTAATTTATATATTTTTGCGGTCAAACTGACTTTTGAATAACTTTTAAATCGTTATTACTTTTGACTTAAAAATTTTCATAGTGATCAAAGAAATATAAGAAAATAAAAAACCAAAAGTTTACTTTAAAAAATGTCCAGAATCATATATTTTACAGCCTGTAGGGTTTTATATTATTTTCTTATTTTTGAGAAAAAAAAATTGAGTCATTTTATAATTATACCATGCGAATATGCATAAAGGAATCATGGAATCCAAAAAATACATAATTTAAAAACTATTCCATAATTTACAAACTGCTCAGTGAATAATCACATAAATTACTATTTGGTCAGTAAATTGCTGAAAATGGGCTGTTCAAACAATTTAAACATATCAACTTTAAACAGTTTGTAATTTTTTAATTTTTGTTATTTTTGCACCATTATTACATTTGACTTGAATTTTTAAATAGTGATCCAGTTTTTATTAAATCTGTCGGGATTATCCAGAATTGTTTATTTTACAGACTGAAAGGTTTGTACTTATTTAATTGTGTTATTAAGTAAAAAAAAATAGGATTGCACTATGCAAATATGCATAAAGGAATCATGAAAGCCAAAAAATACATCATTTGAAAACTATTATTTAAAGACCTGTCAGTAAAATTATTGCATAATTTAAAAACCGGTCAGTAAATTACAGAAAAAATAGATTTACACACCAATTTAGGATATTGACCTTATATATGTTTGATATTTTTGAACCGTTATTACATTTGACTTGAAATTTTAAATTGTAATCCAGTTTTTATTAAATCTATTGAAATCACACAGAATCATTTATTTTACAGACTGAAGTGTTTTTACTTATTTAATTGTGTAATGAACAACAAAAATTAAGGTTACAATATGCAAATATGCATAAAGGAATCATGGAATCTGTAAAA